GGACAGCTGAACCCAACTGACCAAAGGGATATTCCACACCATATGACGTCATGCTCACCTCATAAAGCTGGGGGAAGAGGAAGGAAGGGGGGGATGTTCAAAGTGATGGCATTTGTCTTCCCAAGTCACCGTTACACATGATGGAGCCCTGCTTTCCTGGAGATGGCTGAACACCTGCCTGCCGATGGGAAGGAGTGAATGAATTCCTTGTTTTGCTTTGCTTGTGTGCGTGGCTTTTGCTTTACCTATTAAACTGTCTTTATCTCAACCCACGAGTTTTCTCACTTTTACTCTTCTGATTCTCTCCCCCATCCCACCTGGGGGGAGTGAGCAAGCAGCTGGGTGGTACTTAGTTGCCAGCAGAAGTTAAACCACAACATTTTTTTATTGTGTTCACTGAGTAAAAGTAAGTTTCAAATCTTTTTGCACAGTGGATTGATTGCTAGGAGCAGAATTACAGCAATGAAATGTTCAATTAATGTTGTGTGTCTCTGTGGAGCATAGCTTGCAAGAGCTCTCTGAATAGAAGGATATCATACAGAAGTGAAAATGAAGGGTGTAGCTTTGTTCATTTCTCAAATCACTATGTGACATGCCTCCAGTAAATTAGGAAGTAGTCTGTGATTGATGGCTGCTGTTGGAAAACTTTCTTTAGTCTTTCTGAGAGTGTCAAAATCTACTTGATCTAAATATAACCAGGAATATTATTCCAACACAGTTTCTTTCATTTTAAACCCTTTATTACTTTACAGGCAGCATCATTTATATGTTAAGTGTACTATCTACATACTTGCACACTCTAAAATCAGTGGTCTCCAAAGTGGGGCGCACGGACATTGGAGTGCAGGAAGAAAATATTAGAAATTCAGTAACACATGTATACAATTTATATCAATTAAAAAAAGATATATTGGGTGTGCATGCTGAAAAACTTTTTACTGATAGAAATTATTTATTGATAGGAGTGCTTGATCAAAAAAACTTGTGGACCACTGTTCTAAATGAATCAGTATGAATTCATCTTTCATAGTAGCTCACCCCCCTTCTTGTTTTCATTTGCTAGATTCCAACCAGAAAAACCTCAAGAATCAATGGTGTCAGATATGGAAATGTTGTCTTCATCAATTTATGCCCTCATCCTTCTTATCAAGAAATACTGAACTTCCTCAGAGGATTTGCAGTAGGCTATTTCAAATGAGAGAATTATGAAATGCCCGTCAGAAGCATGAAAGAATACATGGAATTTTTACAGTAACAGTTCCGTGCCTAGTTCTTTGCAAAAATATCCCCTTTTTCTGGTTTTGTGCAACATATTAATAATTGACATGGTTTTCGCAATCCTATATAGTGGTCCTTGACACAGGAATTTTGCGTTAGAAATCCAGAACCTAGAAGGCAATGAAGAGTTGCAGAGAACAGAATTATCTGTCCCTATGCATGTGCTTCCGTTAGTCCTTGGAGTTCTGGTTTGGTTTTTTTTTTGCTATAATGCCACAAAATGTCAGTCAAGAACTCCTGTGGGATGCCGGAGCAGAACATCAGCAATGAGTCCATGACTCCCTATTCCTATCAGTCAGTCACCCGGGAAACTGCAGAGATGCTCAATTTTTTGTTTAGTGATTTTGATCACACCTTTATAGTCAATTAATGAAAATTACATTTTTGGCAATAAATAAATAAATAGAAGAAAGGGAATCAGCTTCTAATATCTAAAAGTTGCTTTTCATTTCTTTTGCGTCATAAGTATGAGGGAGAACTACCCCAAATCTCTTCTCCCACTGCAGACAACCTACATTGTCATAAAATGGCAAAATATAAGGCCTTCCGGCCACTTTGTGCCTTCCCTTGAGTTTGTATTGAATGAACCGTATTTCTTTCGTTACATTCAAAGCTACTGCAAAGCACAGTGTATTACCCATGGCAACTGTAGTAACATCATTATTTACAAAGGTCACTAAACTTTTCAGGGTTTCCTTAGAAGACTAGCTTGAAAAAGGCTCCCTATGGAATATTCTGGAATACTGTCTAAACATATACTAATGACAGGACGTGAGCTTCCTGCTCCTGTGCTCCTAATAAAATAAAAATGAAAACAACCTCATAAATGTCTTTTCATTATTTTTTAAACTATCCATCAGTGGCTTTCTATGCTTTTCTTAGCTCCATGGTGCTACAGTAAGTGCACCAGTAAGTACAGATCCTGGCACATGATATTGAGAACACACAAAACACCTTATTGGGTCAGGCAAGTGAGTCCCCCAAGCTCAGCAGTGGCAAGAGTAGATGCTATTCAGTGAGAGAAACCAAGCCCGGCCACTTTCTGCATCCCTTCCCCTTGCAGTGAATCTCTCAGGCTCACAACCCTGGCACAAGATGGCACTGGGACCAGGAGCAGCACAGGGAAGTGCGGAGAAGGTTAGTGTCCAAAGCAAGGACCTCAGTGTCTAAAGCAAGGACAGCAGTGCAGCTGCACAACAAAGAACCTGCCTCTTTCAGCAACTATTTATGGACCAGTTGTCCATGAGGTTGTTTTATCACTTTAAGTCCGCTAATATAATTTGCCCACAGTATAGTGCTTTGGCTGCTAGTTCCCTAAATTTTTTACCTGTTGCATAAAGCAATACTTTATCTGTTTTAAACCTGCTAGTACCATTAAGTGACCATTAGTTCCATTACTGAATCTGGTGTATTTTATCCTGCATTTACTTTATTTACTGTCATGATTTTGGAAACCTCAGTCATGCTCCTGAGAAGCATTCTGTTCCCCAAACCAAAGAGCCATTTAATCTCTCATAACAAGGAAGCTGCTTCCTCCCCGTTGTTTTAGTTGCTTTTCTCCATACACTCACCAACTTCACTCTTGAAATGCTGTCCTTGAGATGCCCACCAGAACTGCATTCTAATATTCAAGATGCAGGTCCACTATGGTTATATACAGTAATAAAACAATGCCTTCTGCCTTGTCTGTAACACTGGTTATATCCAATGTTTTGTTGACTTAATTTTTGTCTGCTGCTGTGCAATGAGAGATGATATTACAGAACTGTCAGTGATGACGCCTGTGTCCTTCCTGAGTTTTACATATGAATTCCAAGTTCAGGATCGCCCAGGCACAGTTAAAGGAGATGTTTTCTGTCAGATGAATTAACTAATATTTATCTACCCTGACACTTGTCTACCATCTTTTTGCCCACAAATTACATTTTGTAAGATGCTTCTGTAGTTCCCTGACATCTAATATGAAGTACCATCCACAAACTGAGAAATCTCACTGTTTACTCTAATTCTGCAGGTCATGGGTGAATATATTGAATAGAACTTGACACAGCACCAATCCTTATGGTACTTCACTTCCACATCTTCACATCCATCCTAACAAGCTACCACATCCCTGAAAATCCCCTCTCTCACAGGAGCATTGTCAGTGCAAAAGGACACCGTGAAGTCAGCTGGAGGTTTGGTTTCAACTTAGATATCAGCTCCCTCTTTCCTGCTGGATGCTCTCCTTCCCACAGATTTACATTCTCCTTAGCAGCACAGGGGCTGTCACAGTGGAAGTGGGACAGTTGTACAACATCCCTGCTGGCCCCATCTAAAGACCTCTCCATTTCAACTAGTTCAGCCATGTCAAGCCACCAAACATCTCTCACCATCAAAGGCTCTTTTCACTAACTACACACCTGCAGACATGATCCCAGGGCAGGTTATGTATGAGACCTACCAATGTTCTCTGCAATAAACTCAGCTTCATCCAGTTGCCAGACTTCTACCTGTATCCCATGGTTAACATTGTACCAGAAATTATAAACCTAGGGATTTCTCACCTATCGGGAGAAAGTACCAGCATTTGGTAGTTTGACACTTGAACACAGTGACTGGCAGGAATTTTACCAAAGAAATACAGGTTTCGTGTTTCAGTTTCAAACTTGAGATTAAAAAAACAATAAAAAGGCTTAAAAGCTCGGGTGCAAAGGTTAGTGAAGGAAAGTTATGATAAACAGCTAAAACAGTTTCTTCTTCAAAACGTTCAGGTTGCTTCACATTGCTGAACCTTTTGGTCCTAAGGAATCATACTGATTTACTGCTACATCACTGCAGCTTGACCAAGTCCAGAGGTCTTCTGACACTAAGCAGCTTTCAGGACAGGATTCGCTATTGGTTCCTCCCATCTTACAATGCTGTACATTAACAATATCCACTTACAGTTGGCTACCATATCTTGCTGGCGATTTGCACATCAAAAGACTTTTAACAGATAAACAAGCAACCTCTACCCTGCAAATGCCCCATACCCCAGTCTCAGAAAGACTTACTTGCTTCCTGGAAATTTGCTAATTTAGTACAACCATTTTTGAATTCAGAGATAATTAAGTCTCTCCTCAAGTACTCAATCTCTGAATTGGACATTTCATTGAAAAATGTACTTTTCTAATCTACTCTTCTCAATATAAACATATTCTAGACTTTCTTCTCTATAACTTGTCTCTAAAGACTGCAGTCACCAAACTCTTATTCTCTTAATAGCACTTATTTGACTGGTAAATCTAATTTACCTAAAAATACTCTTTTCCTCAGTAATCTCTCTTCTCATACAACCGTTCTGTGGAAATATAACGGAGACATTTAAAAACCATGTCATACTGTTTTTAATAGGCACAAGTTCTGCTAGTGAAATCGGGGGGGTACAAATATTTGTATGTACAAGTTATAGTATTGTACCTTCTACCATTTCCATACCACTAGGAGGTTTACAATGTCCGGCATGGCTCACAACCCAAACGGGATACTGCTGATTTAGTCCACAATATAAGGCCTGTATAAAGGTCCTGTAATAACCTGCCAGTCCAGGGTTACCTGCCAAAAGACAAAACATACAAGCACAGTCAATATTAACCTTCCAACAGCAACCAATGTGCTTCAAAGCAAAATAAACAGCATTATACAGCAATTTGTTAATTTATTTTCTCTAGTACATTTCCAATTTTTATTTTCCCAATTTCAGGGGCTACGCTATTGAACTGGTTTAATTCCATTGATCAATGGCACCCATGAGAAGCATTTTACAGAATTACTTTGAAACTGCAGAACCTAAAATTAAAGCCCAACACAGAAGAAAAATCTCCTTTTCCATCAGAGGTTAACCAGCTTACTTAGCTATCCCATCAAATTACAGATACATGAAAATTGGGCAAAGAAACCCCCAGATCTTACAAAAATATCACAAAGACTACAGCGTATATCACTTGATCCAGATGTCTGCCCTCCAGAATATCTCAGTGTTACCGCTTCAAAATAGGTATGTGGTATCCTGACAATACAAAGGTCTGTACTGACCCTAAAAGAGAGGATGATTTTATTTTAAACTCATTGGCCTAAATTAATTTTTTCTGCTTGCAACTTCGTATTCTCTCTGTCCTCTTCCACGCCTCTTGAGAAGCTCTTTCCTTTTCACCCCTCATGCTCCAGAACCACGGGAGAATCTGTCCTCCCTCCTGCATCCCATCAGCTTTAGAGAGAACTTCTCAGAAGAGGCTGGTGGCTGAACAAATCCGGCTTGCCCTGAGAGAGCAGACCACCTTGCTCTAAATCCATTGTTTAACAGTGACAATGTCGACAGTCAGGTACCATTGCTGAAGTGGAAATTGAAATACTGTCCCAAAGATAAAAATATATATCTGGTAGGGATTTCAGGATTTCCAAACAAAACTCTGATCTCTATTCCTTCTTTTTTTCTCTCTCTTTTGGGTATCAGTAGTGACAGTATCAAGGGACTTAAATTGGAGAGTAAATCCAGATGAAGATGAAGCAGATTTTGTTTCCTGATTCCCATAGGATGCATAAAAATTCCACACAGACATAAAAACATATAATTTCTCTCTATTTATTTATTTTCCAGGGTAGTTCCACTGATTTCTTATTACCATTTAGACACCCAGAAAGCCCACCATCTTGGTCAGGATTGCTCAGTTACATATCCTTCACTCACATACTAGGCAATTCTTCGTTTGGATATCATCAACATCAAAAGGCGGCAAGAGCAGTATTGTGTAAAAAGGCATTCACTTTTTAAGACAAAGACATCCCAAAATAACACAAATGTATTACTGAAAGGGTACGAGAGAAAAAAAAAACCCTCACTAAAATTGTGTAAACTCCTTTATATCAGTCTGATTGTAGTAACAGAGGCTGAGGCATGTAAGCATCGATAGTGACAGAAAAGAAGAATCAGAGCTGTAATCAAATTAGTACTTGTAGAAATCGCATGTGGAGATAACAACCAGGTTTATTCCACTTCTTCCCTTTCTATAGTGGGCATTTTCATTTTGCCTTCTTTTACTTCAACCCTTTTGCTCTTCAGGTAACACACAGTAAGTTCATCACTCTCCCAAGAGGCATTCCCTCAGTCCGGGCCTTCCAGAACACAGCCTACTCCCTGCAGAGCAGCGGTGCAGCAGGCACCCTAAGCCACCTCCAGCACAGACACCTGCGTAGGAGCTGATGCCATTGCTCACACCAGCGATGATACGTGGCAGAGTAGGGAAGCCTTCCACTCTAGGTAATATATCACACACGCTTCATCCCTCACTTACACATAAAAAGTGCCTCTGATGGTTTTTAAATCTTAATAAAATTACTGATCTTAAAACAACATTATTTTTATTGGAGCACACTGATTTGGAAAAAAAAAACAACCAACCCCAAAATACCAAAACCCAAGCCCCACAGTATCAGTTATTATATGTTCTAAGCATCTCTTTGTTACCTTAACATTAAAGGGGAATTTAAAAAAAAAAAAGTTGTTGTATATATAAACTCCAAAATGCACGATCAAATTTTTTCAAACTGATTTCCAGAAAAACAATTTAAAATTCACAGGGGTCACACTTCCGTACAACTGCACCACATTTTCATATGTCAAAAATATATAATAGAGGGCCCCAGAGACAATAAAATCAAATCTAGACATCATCTGTCAAGCTCCTTGAATTGATGTTACATAGAGGAAACCTGTCGTTCAGCAAGGTTGAAGATGAAAGTAGCAGCAATCCAAAATAAAGTGTCTTTTGTAGTACAAATGATCACGATGTTTTGGCACTACGCTTAGTCCTGGAATATAATGCAGTTAGGTATTTTGAGATCAAAGAATCACAAAATTAATCTCAAAACCAGCCTTTTTTCTTTACATTTTTCTCTCCTTTAATAATGCAAAACAAGGAAAGGGGGAGAAATGGCAACAGCTATGTCAGACATTTCAGTGCTCTTTCCCATCATCAGCCAGGTGAACCGAACATGTAAATATTCTTAGGATTCAGTCATTAGCTGAAGAGCACTGAAGTAAGAACTGCTTATTAACAGTGAGGCTTTGCATCAAATACTATACAGAGCTCAAGGCACTCTAATACTTTTTTGAGGGAAAGGGGATTTTTATCCTGTGATAAATGTGATGTGTATTTTAGGCAGGTAAAAGAGAAGATTCATAAATGCAAAAGAAACCCCCTTTCCTCACTCTTCATAAGCATCTGCTCATGGTAAAAGACATTCTGAGGGGTCAGCTGCGAGAACTGCTATTGATACTTTAAAATGCCTTGAAGGGGTATGAATGAGAACCGCTGGCACAAATGGAAAGGAAAATCAACAACAAAGATTTTAACAGCGAAGATTTCTATAGGGAAATCACCACATGTAAAGCAGCTATGAATTTCTTCTTTATTGAACTTTCAAATTCAATGGAGTTATTCCAGATTTGCACTGACTTAAGTAAATGCAGATTAATAGTCCCTGCTCTTGAAAGCTTGCATCTGCAATATTTATAAGTGGAGAATGTTTATCTCCTAATATAGCTCAAACTCACATCTCTGCGACTTCAGTCATTTTATATGTTTTTACTTTAGCTGCTGGCTGCCAAAATACTTTAAGGGGAGCAAACAAAAAAATCTGAACATATATTTTTTTTTTCATACAACAGAGTTACAGTAACAGCTAATGGAAATAGCTGGGGCTTAATATGCACAGCAGTCTGTAACCAACAATATTTTGGGCTCATCTACTGTGGCTGAAATATTGTTCAATTAAACTGTTTTATTTTATAGAAAAAGAACTACCAGGTTCATCACGAAGGCACCCAGGCAATGCAGTGCTCATTTGTGCATTTTAAGGACTTCCCAGTACATCAAACCAAAACTGCCTATGTTCTTTCACTCAGCAACTAAGTGTCAAAAAATGGAAACCATAAGTAAATGCAGTGTAAACCTCCATGATTTGAAGGTTACTCCAGTTATTTGAATACCACATCAATCCTCAGACACCTCAGGGCACCTGAATCATTCATGCATGCCAGCAAATCTCAAGCTGCAATCATCTGAACCAAGAAGCCCATCTTAAGCAGTTACTCTCAACTGTGCTTAATTTTCAAGAGTGTTTATGTTGTTTCAGAAGTCTTTTAAACAATAGCTGTAAATGGTGACCATAATAGAAAAGGACACAAAACTACAATACACTGCATATTACCTTAATTTGCAAAAGATTTCTAAGCATTTCATGGGAAGAGTATGTCAAAGGGACAATTTGCAGAGTGAATTACAACACAGTGGGGCCATTTTATTTGGTGTTTGTTATTGTTTTATTTGGTGAAATTCATAAGTTTCAATAACCAAAGGACTCCTGCACCTTTTCTGTTCTTCTCTGTAATACACGGCATTTCATCCGGCTATTCTACATTAAGCCCAAAGTCTTTCTATTTTTAATTTGAAGAGGGGAATCCACTTCTTCCTTTTCCGATCTGTTCCACCCACAGCTAAAGCAAAATGGTACAGAACAACTGAATGTGCAGAGGTGTAACTTTGAGCTATATTAGGAGGTAAATATTCTCCACTTATATATACTGCAGATACAGGCTTTCCACATAGCTACAAACATGAAAATTACTTATAAACATATATTTGCCTGCCTTTCACTTTCAAACACTTTCTTGTTAATGCTTTTTCCATCAAATCAAGATTTTAAATACCAACCACTTCCTTCTTACGAAGACAGCTAGCAGTGGAGAGAGAACTATTTGTACAAACTAAGTATCTGCCCCAGGATATCACTGATAAAGAATAACTTGGCCTGTCTTAAAATGAAATACATCCTAATATTTGAGATGCTGCACTTCAGTTATTCAGACTCAGGAAGTTCAAACTTATATACAGTATGCCATCAGTGCAATTCAATCAGCTTAATTCTGAATGCAAAACAACAAACACATAACACTCATTTAAAAAGTCACAGACCATAGCTACTCCCCACAAGCAACGACAGCTTTTGTGGCTTACAAATTGTCAAGCATTTTAAATCCTTCTGCAGCAGAAAATATTAATGCAAAATGTAAACTATAATTAAGAGAGCACTAGCATTAGATAACCTTGTGCAAAAGTAATTTGCAGACTTACTGAGAAATGTACAATGTAAACCACAACAGCAAAATGTTTCAGGTTAGAAACAAGGATATACAGCAAAACATACAGGAAAAGCCTTCTGTCCAGAAAGGGGTAGGTCGAAAATATATACAGCTTACTCAAATGAAATTAAGACTAAAACACAAAAACGAAAATAATTCTTAGCAGTTCTGGAAGGGATATCTAAATTGAAAAGGATTTCTTTAAGCAGTCTATAGTAAGTGCCAGGAGTGGCAGGGAGTGAAGGAGAAGAAACTTATGTGCAGCTAAATCGTCCCAAACAGCGACGAGGTTTCTTGCACCTTGTTTTGAAACAAGCTTTTGGATTCTATGCACCACCCTGTGAGATGTTCCCCAGTGTTTTCAGTCGTGTCTCCAGAAGTCTGACCATCTGCAGGAGCAGTAGCTGGCATTCAG